CACCTCTGTTGTTGCAGTGACTTGATGCCATTAAATCATGGTTTTCATGCTTTGAAGTCCGATTTTGTCAAAGTGGTTTGAACGAGGCAATTTGGGGGTGGCGTAGGCTGTTTGTGTGGTGAGATTGCTCAGAGGCAGCGGTCAGTATGCTTGGGGAGCGGCAACCGTGCCAATAAAATCATGCTGTTTGGTTCTGTTTGTCTCATGCCAAATAGTTGAATTCAGTGGTCGATGACTGTTATTTCACTTCAATCAATACATAGGGACCAATTTACAAGTCTATGTTGTTTGTGGTGATATATAATATACTATTATGATTGAATTTAGTAGCCAAGTTCTATATCTGTGTCACTATACATGTCAGATGCATTTTCCTCTGGAATGTAGCTTTCCTATTCACTCTTCATGTCGAGTTGAGCATCAAGCTCCTGCTGGTTTTGAGCTTTAGACATTCATATTGTGTTCCGGTCTGTTCTCCAAGTTGTCGGAGTGAATGTTGCAAAGGTTTGTCATTGACTGGGAAGTTTGCAATGTCAATCGTGACTTCCAGCCCAGTTTTCAAGTGTCTTTGCCCATGATATAAGATACTTGTGGTTAACAAGTCAATATATGCAGAGGTAATGACAATAACGCATTGCTGACGCTGATAGTCGCGCTTTGGTCGTGCTTCAGTTACTTTCTTTATTGCAACACGTGATCATCGACGTGTCTTACCATGCCATTCCCCCGTCATGGATTGCTACCTCATCTGTAGAGGTATTCTTTCAAATTTTTGCAGGCACAAACTCATGGAGCATAGGATGGATTTGTTCAAGACAGAATTTTATAAAGGGGTTTGGAAGGCTCGAAGTAAGATATTAACTGATGGAATATTTGTATTTTTGTGCTAAATTGTATACGAGCACCTTTACTTATGCTCCACCTACATATATCCACACTTAAAGTGGCAATCTACTGTTGTGTTGAAGTAAATACGAGCAGTTAAGACTAGTGCTTGGAAGTCCGGTCCAGTCCGGTCTTTTGTCCAAAATTGACAAGACTGAGACCAGGACCAGTCCTCCCAATTTGAAGAACCACGAAAAACCAGACTGAACCGATGTCAACCGGTTCAGTGCGGTTTTAATCGGTTTTTTACAGTTGAAAGACCAGTCTCAGCCAGTCTCAGTCTCAACTGGTTGAGGACTGGTTGAGGACCGGTCTCATAGCTACTAACATAGAGAAAATATGTATCTAATTTACTAAATATACTAGTACTACACAAAAGTGAATGAGGGGGGGCAGGGGGCTCATCCATCGTCGCTGCCACTTTGCGTCATCATCATGTGCCTGTCTCCATCATTGTAGCGTGGTTGTTGTTGTATGTTGTTGTCAATGCCAAAGGTGGCAGAGAGCGAGGGGGTGATGTGGCAGTGGTTGGGGGTGTTACGATGGCTGCTGGGCATTGTCAGTACTCACACTCGTGGTTGTAGGTCATTGATGTGGGCGCTCGTGAAATGGGAGTGAGGCCGAGATGAAAGACATTGTTTGGGGTTCTGGTTTAACAAAACGGAGGGGTCGTGTGGTTGCCACATCGCTGTCAGCGACGTGGCATCTGATTCTGGTGTTGAAAATGAGAGAGGGGGAGGGGGGGCAGGGTTATAAGTGCTCACTGTGGTGGTTGTGGGTCATTGGTTGTTGAAGAAGACCCCTCGTGACCTCATTTATTTACGCGTATGTCTTGTTTGCACCTCCTCGATCAATTCAGTAAAACTTCCACCGCTTACACTTATATTCCACCGCTTACACTTACACCCACTTACGTCCGTTATTCCCGACCGTCCTATAAGTACGAGGACTTTATTTTCCCTCCACCTCAGTCATCACCACATCCGTGTCTGACTGAGGTGAGTCTTTTCTTACTTACATTTAGATACTTAACGCTAACGCTACTTGTACTTAGATCCTCGTACGTTAACAGGTAGCTAAGACAATAGAGTCATCACCACATCCGTGTCTGACTGAGATCCTCGTACGTTAACATTGGTGTGGGCTCTCTGAGATGCAAGTGGGTGTCAAGAGGAACAATGACATCCATCATTGTTGTTTGGTTGCCACATCGTCGTCGGCAACATGGCACCTGGTTCTGATGTTAAAAAATGCAGTGGGAGGGGATATGAGTGCTCACACTCGCGGTTGTAGGTCATTGATGTGGGCGCTCATCAAGAGGAACAATGTCATCCATCATGGTCATGTGGTTGCCATGTCACCGTCAGCGATGTGGCACCTATTTCTGGTGTTAAAAAAACGGAGGGGGAGGGGATGAGGGTGCTCACACTTGTGCTCTGGCATGTGATGTTTGTGGTTGATGTGCAGGCCTACATGGATGCAAGGTGGTGGACATGAAGGGTGGTGACGGTGGTGGGGATGGTGGTGGTGGGAGCATTTGTGTTTGTATTCAGTAACCAGTTATGAGTTTCGTTTGTTTGGTTACAAATTCCGCTAAAGACCGGTTAAGACCGGTTAGACCAGTCTTTTGTCGGTCTTGAAATTTCTGAGATTGTAAGAGACCAAAGACCGGACCGCGGTTGCAGTCTTTGACGGTCCTGGGAATTTCCGGTTTTGGGCAGTCTCGGTCCAGTCCAGTCTCAGTCTTTTTTCAGTCTTGGGACTGGACTTCCAAGCACTAGTTGAGACGATCGACCATTTTTTGATCAGGTCTTTGGTGATGGGGAAATATGGCAGAGTTGAAAATTTGGCAGTGGGTTGCCACTCCCCAGTATGCTGACCGCTGCCTTGGTTGTTTACTGTGGAGCATTCGTCATATTGGGCAATGAGATGATAAAACACGCTACTTACCTTTAATACCGGGTTCCTTCGCTGTTTGCGAAACTTGGAGGGGCGAGGCTGGGAGATGGTTGGAGGTCAGTGAGCACGTGAATGGATGAACAGCTGTGTGATTTATGAATTATCTAAGCGCCACTCATGTGATTCAGTAGTGAAAACTGACCTGTATCGCTCAATATCCCATGGAAAGGTGTAAAAATTTGTATATGTGTTAATATAAATATAGAAAGTAAACTTGAATTTTTTCAGCACGAGGGAGCAAGTGGAAGGTACCACATAAAGTAGTGAACTTGGTAGTGAATATCTCACTACTTTGGTGGCTATGACGATCAGAGCTGTTGCCAAACAGAACCAACTGTTGTCCTGTCATCTGAGTTCGCACAAGCTGTCCGGCTCGTGAAGGCTGCCTGAATATCAGCTCAAACTATTCCTTTGTAAGCCAAATCATCCCCTTTTTCTTCCCTTTTTTTTCTCCTCCTTCCTTATTTTTTATTATTTATTTAAAATTTTGGACACAGGTATGAGTAGTGAGCTGACTGTTACACAAACACCTGTTACTCTGGCTGACTAAGCCGGGTCAGCCATGCTTCCTAATCCGTAGCTGGACCGCTACACCTTCAGACCCCATTCCTCTTGTTTCCATCTGAGCAAACTTCTGCTGCAGAAGGGCGTGGTTTACACCTTGTGTAGTGGATCAAAATGGCTCACCTTAATCCATAGAGCACGTGATCAAAGTGATCAAGTGCGCACTCAACAATCTCCTTATTGTTTAAGCTGAGACACCAATAGTAATAACCTATCAAATATAGATCTTCGGATGGTGCTAATGAGGATTCCTTTTCAACAATTTTACACACGAACTTAGAGATACGTACACTGACGAATTGGCTTATGTTGATTAGAATGAGGTTGGCGCTGCCCCAGACCTGGAGCAGACATACTTCTTCAACATTATTGAAGAAGGATACGTGGCTGGGAAAATGGAGATGCTGGCCCAGGTTGTTATAAAGTGCAGGGCAGACAAGAGTCAGCACACACACACAGACAAAAGATCCTCAGACACACGAGCAGAAAAGCGATGGTGTGTCGCTCTCCATCTACTGGCAGGCCAATTCTGGCAGTTGAATTCGCTAAGTTCATGATGTACCTATTGAACTGGAACTTCAACAGGCTGAAAGTTCTTTTTACAACTCTTTCTGTGCTCAAATAAATCTTCAAAGTAGAAATTTGATTCTGTAAACAACAAGGATTACATATTTAATGGTACTACATATATTAGGGAGCATCAGGACGACACATAAGTACACACTCAGGCACATGACGATGTGTCGCTGATCTCCGATCAAATTGGGTACCTCTATCTCATGGCGTGTCTTGTCCATGTATCTGCTGAATAGGTGCCATTAGGGTTAGGGATGTTAGGGTTAGGTATATAATAATACATGTCTTCTCGCGTGGAAGCGCGCTCTTAGGTCTCCCCACGCAGTAGCGTGTTCTCGGTTATGTTAGGAGGTTAGGGTTGGTGGTTAGGGTTAGGAGGTTAGGTTGCCAGTTAGGGTTTCAAACTCTGCTGAATTCCCCAGTTGGGGAGTGTGTCATTCTACGTATATTCTCACTTGAGACAGCGACGAATATGTAGGGCTACATATGTATAAACATATGCTCTCAAAACTGTGGAATACGCTAAAATCCCTTTTGTCCTGGTATATTTACTCTCAATTTCTAAGTTTGGTTATGGAATTGTACATCATATGCATAAAACAAACTCACAATGAAAAAAGGGATCAGATCTAAAAAATGAACAATTAAATATGATCTGAGCTCATATTTAGAATACGCCAAAATCTTGGCCCAGGAAGTTCATCAAATTCTAAATATGAATTTAGATCATATTTATTCAGTCATTTTTTGGATCTGATCCTTTTTTTTATTGTAAGTTTATTTTATGCATATGTTGGATATACAATTCCATCACCAAACTTAGAAAATGAGAGCAAATATGTTAGGGGAACACTGGGTTTTGTCTATTCTCCAGTTTTTAGTGCCTATGTTTACACCTACATGGCCCTTCATATCCATCGCTGCCTGAAGTGTCTCTGGAGGTGATGGTGTTATGGTGGCCTATGGTAAACAGTCCTGTTTCTTCGACGTCTTCCAAATCAACTGAGAGGCATTCTGATCTGCTCTTTCCAGTCTGTTCGCAGGCACCGTCCCTGACCTTTACAAGATATCTTAGAAGTATTTGGATCTTTCCAAAATGGCCTTTGAAACTATTGAAATTGCTACTGCTCAAGCCCACATATGGTGTTTCATGGGGTTTTAATGTTTTGCCCTTGATTTCAGTTCTACCATTCTTACAATTCTTGCACTCGGCGATGTTGGTCCCCGAAGTCAGGGCTGCCTTAGGAGCAACCAAGATGCCTAGTGGAGGTAGAGTTCTTTTGAAAATCAAGGTTGAGTGTAGGGCTGCACACCATGCCCGTCATAGACGGGTCGACAGATGGGTCTGATGGACAATTACCCGTTCCATTTGGGCTTGCTGAACACCTGTTTTTATCTGTCACATGACGGCCGTAACGGCTGTCAGACGGGTCATCGACACATTCTGTGATTTTACCCAGAATTAGTGTACCATCTATTGACAATATATGAAGTGCTTCATTATTAAATTTTTGCATATCTCTGTCAATGCTAAATGTCTCCAGGCGGGCCCAAATACAACCAGAATGGTGCTGACTCATCACAATTGAAACCCCACAAAAGGTCTATTCACACCTCGAGCTCATGATTTGCTGTTTGAAGGTCCAAATCTTTATTATTTGTGCTTAATATCTCTTCTTACACTAACTGGGCAAAAAGATTGTCCAATCATTTTTTGGACAAAGTTGGTGATATAACACAAGAATCAAACATTTTGAGAACTAAGCTCTAGTGTATAAAATATAGCTAAGGAGGTGTAGATTGTATATACCAAGTCTGGGGATGAACAATTGAAAACTCAGGATAAGTGCCAAAAATGGGATGTAACAAAGTGGGAAATTCTGAATGACTGCAACCTACTGAAAGCAATTCACAACTTGAGGAAGAGATATTTTGAACACTGGATCTCCCTGCTATTGTTATAAGTTTCATAAAGTCTCTGGGCTAGAAAATTTTATATCCTCCTCTAAAAGGTAAATTTGAACTTATTCTCCATTTTATGTATTTTTCACTCAATATATTTGTTGGAATGAGGTAAAATGACTCCCTATTGTTGTTTGTAGTGTGTATAATACAAAAGGTAGGTAGAAATGTTAAAATGAACATTGCATGATGTCTGTAGATGCTAATTCCCAGAGTTTTTCTGGAAGTAAACAAATATCTACAACATTGGTCCTTCTTTTCTGCAAGGAGAAAAAATGCTACCATCCTTTTGAATTGATCCATGGAGACTCAGGATGTCTTTTAAACAATGCCTGAAGTATAGCATGATAGCAAATAAATTTACACTGGGTATAACTTGAAAAGTCCCCAATAAAAGTACATTTGCATAGAGCAAGAAAGC